CATGTTGTGGGCATCATGCTCACTCTGCAACCACACATTCCCACTCTCTCGCCTCTCCCAAAATTAGGCTTGAAGAAAGCTGAGGTTCTAATGCTGTTGGGCCAAATCTGCCATGTAGGGCTCCTGAAAAGAATGTGGCGAAGGCAGGAGACCAGGGGAGTGACCCAGGAGAGGGGACCAGTCATGCCACCCACAAGGCAGGAGCCAGGGGAGGAGGGAGAGTCAGGGCAGCCCAAGGCAGAGGAAGACGCGCAGGATGTAGCTGAGGAAGAAGGGACAGTTCTGGCAACGGATGGGTCAGTAGATCCCCCACCTCCCCCCGCTCCAGTCTCCTGGAACCAGGAGGGGCTTGAAAAAGGCAGAGCAGCAATGACTTCCATGCAGGAAACGTCTCAGATGGTGGGCAAGGAGCCCATCGGAGGAGGGTATAGAAGCCAAAGGAGCAAAGGGGCCCCACTGTTGCTGCAACTGCTCCATAGGGCCCAGACCTGCGGACCACAGGCGAGAAGCAGGCATGCGTCGTGTGAATCTGGAGCACCACGGAAGCTGCTGCAAAGGTTTCTCTTGCCAATAGACTTAAATATCAGGCGTGTGCTTCTTCTTCATCTGGGATGGGCTGTGACATGCCATCCCACAGGCACTCTATCCTAAATGATGACATCCCAGGATCTCCAGGCCCATACTGTCATTTCAATTTGCTTAAAGTGAAGCCATGGAAAGATTTTCCAGTGTTCTGCTTTCAGTGAAAACCACTGAGTTCGCACCTGTGGCTCAAAATGGCTTTTGGTACACCAGCCACCAAATGCAAATGGAAGAGAATAGAGTCATCATTTCAAAATGACATTTGTTGTGTAGGGTTTGGGGGGGCAGGGTTGTATGGTGTTTTAGATTTGCATGTTTCAAAGATGATAAATGTTGGGTTTTTTTAAAATGGTATCCAGATAATACACCAGCATTTCTGATCAGGCACCATGTCTACAAAAAAACCAGAAACATTTGTTCCCAAAGTTTGCCATGTGAAGTGACAGGGTGACTGAGAGTAGCGGGGGTGGGGGGTGGGGGGAGCTCTTTTGACTGACAGGATTAACTTCTAATCAGAGGAAATAATTTTACTGGGGCTCTTTAACTGCAGAAGTTTGGGGCAAAGTTGTTGAAGCAATGTATCACTTTGGACTCAGCTAGATTGATAAAGAAAAGGCATTTTATGTGTGATATAACACTGTGACACCAGGTGGCACTGTGGAGTCCCGTCTTTCCCTACTGGATTTCCCTGTGTGAGTTTACAACGCGTTTAACTGAATTGCTTCTTTGACATGGTCTAAATCCAGCCTTGTTCTTGTCTGTTTTGTGCTCTTTGCTAGTTCTGCTCATGGTTTGGGTAGCACTGGGCTTTCCAGTCCTGCCTGGGTGCCAGAGGCTCACATTTCTGCTCCTGTCAAATCTGCAATTTAGTTTATGTGATTTTTGGTGCCAGCTGAGCAGAACACAATCCTGAAGCTGTTTTGTTCCACTCATCTTAACTCCCTGGTCCCTGCCCTCCTCTTTCTGAAATATTGCAGGTTACTCTTCCGGCGCATCTCTTCATTGAATGCCATGTTCATCACAGAAAACCTTTCGCTCCCCCAAAAAAACACAGGGAGAGAAGGGATACCCCCAAAATCCACTTTAAAGCACCCACCACAGCCCCCTTTCATCTCTTTGGCAGGATTATTTTTTTTCATAGGGGCACTTCTTGGATGTATATTACTATACAAATTGCTAAGAAACAATAGGGAAGATTAAGTGAGTCCTTTTTTAACCATCTCCAAACTGTAAAGGCTGTCCTTGTGAGAAAAATCACTAGAGTTATCTTTCTGAAACTTGACAGGATCCATATCCTCCAAAGAGGCAAATTTCATTAGTTTCTGCCAAAAATGAAAGAATAATAAATAATAAAAGTATAGACAGTTCATGGAACAAAAAACCCTGGACCTATTTCTCGGACATTTGGATGGATGGAAAGGCTACTGTGCCTGCAAAGTCTATCTAACACTCTAAAAGGGGGGAGGGGTATAGTTGTTTCTAGATTTCCCTATAGTGCATTGGGAAGTCACCAAACTTTGCTTTTCGAAACTAGGATTTGGATGTGGAGTGAAACCAAACCAGGCAGCTTCTGAAGCACCAGACCAAATTAGCTGTTTTCTGAAGAAGTGAGGTCCAAACCAAATCTTGTGGTCCGTTTGTAATTTTGAAAAATAAATGAAGCCCCCAGATATGCTTATCACTGCATTGTGCTTTCAAACAATGCAAATAAGGATGCAAAACCTCAGTGGCGTAGGATGACTGGAAGCAAGGCAGGCAAGGCATGGGCAATTGCCCCTCACAGAGCAGGCTGATTGTATGCTGCTGGGGTTCCAGGTCTCCATTCCTGTGCAAAGGCCCAGCTCCTGCTCTTGTGGTGCACTGAATATTGCCTTCCATTGACAGCAGTGGCTAAGAGGGTCACTCTGATTCTAAACCTCTCCTGCCTTGTGGGACATCTTCAGGAGAAGAAAAGGCTAAGGAGTAAACCCTACACAAATGCAAGACACATTGTACGCCTCCTTCTGGCAACTCCTGCAGCCAAGCTGGTGCCAAACAGATTACTCTGCTTTCCTTTTTTTTAAAAAAATGATATTTATTGAAGTTTCACATGAAAAGAGACACATTTATAATAATAAAAAAGAATTTAAAAATAAAAAGAAAAATACACATTACAGGTTACAGAATACAAAAAGAAAAAAGAAAAAACAGTTAAAAACAATTCCATCTTTTCATCACTACTTTTACATTTACTTATTTCCCGGACCTCCTCATACCTCCCTCTTTTGTATTCCAATTCAGTTTGTTTGTCCAGCAATTCCTTTCCCTCCTTTTTAATCCCAATCCTTAATCTTAATATAATATAACATTAAATTTTTACCTATTAAAAACCAATTTTCCATTCTTTTAACCTTTTTAATCCTAATCCTTAATCTTGATCTATATATAACTTTAAAGCCTGTACAGCTAGAAGCCACTTAATTTCAATCCAACATCACTCTAACATTCTTTAATTTTGCAATATTTCTGTAAGTAATCTTTGAATTTCTTCCAATCTTCTTCCACCAACTCTTCTCCCTGGTCACGGATTCTGCCAGTCATTTCCGCCAATTCCATATAGTCCATCAATTTCATCTGCCATTCCTCCAGTGTGGGTAGCTCTTGTGTCTTCCAATACTTTGCGATGAGTATTCTTGCTGCTGTTGTAGCATACATAAAGAAAGTTCTATCCTTCTTTGGCACCAATTGGCCGACTATGCCCAGGAGAAAGGCCTCTGGTTTCTTCAAGAAGGTATATTTAAATACCTTTTTTCAATTCATTATATATCATCTCCCAGAAAGCCTTAATCTTTGGGCACGTCCACCAAAGGTGAAAAAATGTACCTTCAGTTTCTTTACATTTCCAACATTTATTATCAGGCAAATGGTAGATTTTTGCAATCTTAACTGGGGTTATCGCCTTTTACTCTGCTTTCCTTTGGACCACTTCAGTGAGGCCGAGAGGGGGGTTGTGTCATCTGGGCAGCCCAGGACCCCCAAACACACTGCCCAGGCTTATGCCCCAGGAAGGTCACTTCAGTGCTACTGACCCAGTGGTTTGACCTCACCCCAGAGGCACACTCCATTGCTTCTTGAGACAGTGGAATGCCAACAACGTCAAGTATAGGTGTTGGACCAATGACGTTGTCACTTTCCCACATGAATACCACCTTTTCTCCTTCCGGATGAGATTTGCAAGAGAAACAACTGCCTCATTCGCCACGTGCATGCAGAGCAGCATGGGCAGGAAGAGTTTTGGGGGAAGACAGAGCTCCCACCCTGTTGTTGTGTAGCCTTCTGCCATAACTGTGAAGTTTAATGAGCTGGCCTCATTGAACAGGGAGACACCAATGGAGTTGGTTTACCTGCTGACAGAGAGTGCTATTCCCCCCCTCAATAGCAAAGGACACAACCAGACAAAGGGACACTCCAATCACTTTAAAGGTCCCACTGACTTCTGTGGTCTGACAGTTGTTGTTGTCATTAGTGAACCATCCAAGTATGTATATGACATTAAATTCCCCAAAACACAAATCCCTGCCCCAAAGAGCTTACAATAAAGAACCAGTATGGTGCAGTAGCTCTAGCGTTCGACTTCGGTAGGGGTGGCCCAGGTTCAAATCTCAGCTCAGTTATGAATCGCATTGGGGCGATTTTCAGCCAGATATTATTCTTGCTCAGTCAAACCTGCCTCACGGGGTTGTTGTGAAGAGTACATTTGGAAAAGGTAAGCCTTCTGTGTCATGGAATAAAAACACGGCTGAATAAAAAGCAAAAATGTGGGGGTTATAAAGCCAAAAAGGGAGGGCAAGGATAAAAAGGCATGGAGGTGAACACATTCAGCTACATGTTCTTCAGCTTCATGTAAGTTGTTTAAAACTTCTGTGTTTTAATGTTATAAGCTGCCCTTAGATAAATCAGCAGCAACAGCAGCATCTGACATGGTCCCTGATTTTCTCATTCTGTTAAGCATGTGCCTAACTGTTTTGCTCAATGGGAATAAAAAATACTGCTTTACTTTGGTTGCACCATATTTCCCCCCTCCCCTATGAAATTGCTCTGCACTACAAGCCCCGCTGGTGTCACTCAAACACAGAGTCATTGCATTCGTTGCTGTGCTTTTTACACATGCTTTTCCGAAGGTAAAGCAGCATTGTGGTACATTTACATGTCTGACATCATAGCAAGCTGACTTCATAGGCATCTACAAAATCCCTTCTGTCCTGTCCTCTGAGACATGTGACAGACCAGAAGCCGCTCTTTGGAGTGAAGGCAGCCAGCAGAAAGAAGGCTGACTAGAAAATAACTAAGCTCCATTGTAACACTTCTGCACTAGGCTCCTTGTGATTAGACATCACCAGCTTGCTTGGACAATAAGCTAATAATTTAGCTCCACAGTTATGGGCAGTGGAGTCAGCTCTGAGTCTAAAGAATCAGCCAAAAGGTCACGGGAACTTGAAAAAAGACTCCAAGAAGATGCCGTGAGAGATGCCAGGACAGTCAAGTTGCTCTTGTTGGGTAAATATGTGTCATTTCATTCATGAAACGGCTACATTAACCTTTGCATGAATGGGTGATGTTGTTTGACAGTCAGAAGTGTTCTGAGCTCCTACTTTGGGCATGCCACTTATTTTAATCATGAAATCGAATGATAGAGACTGATAGAACTGGAAATGAGTGGTTTTTGTTTTCAGATATTGGCTGCAAGTCACAAGCCACTCATCAGCCTGGAGATGATCCAGTCACTCAGACCAACAATGGAGATATTTGTGTGGATGCAGCCTTCACAGGTGCGCTCCCTTGTTGGATCTGCATGTGCAGAATGGACGTGGATGCACAATCCATATCAGCGAGTGTGACACTGGGGGTGGCATTCAACTAGGTTTTACTCAGAGTACACCCACTGAAATTAATTGTCCTTAACTTAGTCATGTGCTGACTTAGGGTGAAACTGAGTTGAATAGCATCCTTGACATGGAAGATGTCTATTTAAAAAAACCAAAAAACCGCTTGTGGTATAAATGTGCATTTCCTCCTGCATCACAATGGGCTGAGCACATGATAGTGCATGGATGATTCTGGGGACAGGGCCACAGAGTTCAGTTCCGGAGAACGTTCAGAGTGGACGGCCCCTGTAGCCTTGATATGAGATAAATCAGGAAAAGAATGTGCACACAGGAAAATAAACAGTTTCAATAAATCTAAAGAAACTTGCTTGCAGATCATGTTAGCCAAATTGTGGCTGTTGCTTTATATGGTTTCCTGTGTGCACAGGTCTGAAAATGTGAATTTGTGAATAGAACAAATTGTGAACAGTATACTGCCTGGATAATTATCTGATAGTAAAACTGTCTGCTTTTGGGGGGAATATATAGCATATCACCTAAAATACATTCTAAAAAGTTAAAAGCTAGCACTTGTAAATGTTTTTAATGGTTTCTCTGATTAATAATAATTTTAAAAAGCACCAGATGCTACTGGTTAGTTTTATAGTTTTACAAAGCTGTTACAGTTTGTTGAATCAAACACTTAACAGATGATATAGTGAGGGGAAATGCACGTTCTGCCTGCAGCTTAAAAAATCTTCAGCTCAAAATATTTTGCTCAAAAGTTGCTAACTGCAATCCTGAAAATCTTTATAGGCATGTTCAGCCAGGAAGCATTCAGGCTGGAGCTCCATGGAAATGAATGGGAGTGCCACATGTGGATCAGAGTAGTGTTTGTTGATGTTTCAGTAACTTCAGCTGATCTGGGGTCATTTTTTTTTTATTTTTTTGCTGCATTTCACTCTGATTATCTTATTGCTATTTCTTCTTAAAGAGTGCATATTTCCAAGCAAGGGTTTGGTACTTTTATGCCCATATACTAAGGATGCAGCACTAAGGATGTGTGGAAACCTTGTTGTAAATTTCACTAGTCTTAGACCTTTGGCTTCTTTAGAATTCCCAATCAGATTTGCCTTGAAATGTTTGCTTTATGTGAACCTTGGTGGGATGGGAGAGGTGTGTATTCTGTGCCAGAGAAAAATGGGTTTGTTGGGCTATTGAAACTCTTCTTGCGTCCTGTGAAATTTCTTCCATTTTTTGCCAGAGTAAGAACCTCCAGATTTAGGGGTAGCTCTGGGACACTTTGTAGATGGCAATTATATTTCCTTTAGACAATTTGTGGTTGCTTCTGATTTTTTTCTCCTGTATTTTTTTACTTTGTGGTGGGTGGACACCAAAGAATTCATACTCAGTTTTCAATATTGCTTGCTAGGAATGATCTCAAAGCCAATTTATTCTGCAATAGTTTCACAAGGATTATCCTGAGCTTAATGCAGAAGGATGATTACCACACTCCCATGTCTTATTTTACCACCGTATTAAGGACCAGATGTCAGTATTGTTCCTGTAGCAGCAATAAAGCACCAGGGAGAAAAGATCAATGACTATTGACTAAGAGTCCTGGTATACGTAAGGAAAACAGTACACTGTTTATATTGCTACTAGTTCTGAATTTATGAAAGGGGTCATTTGTAGCTGTATTAATTTCTGTCATTAGCATTTATTTTATTTTATTTTACTTCAGATAGGTTGGGGGTTTTTTCCTGCAAAATTTAGGGAGTCTAATTCGCCAGCAATCCATTGTCTATGGTAGACATGACTCGGAGGATGGAATCGCACCCCAGGGATTTGAACAGAATTATCACAGCTACCACATGGGAGCTTGACATTTGATGTTTCTTTCAGGCAGCTCACACAGACCCTTTTCATCACACCAAAATGACGCCTGTCAGTGGAAAGGGGAATTTGCCTGTGGAATATTTATTGCCATAAAAAAAGTGGAGTGATTCCATCCTGAACTTCTGGAGCAAAAGATAAGGAGGAACTATACAGCTGTCATTTTATGGTTCCCTAAATTTTACAGGACAGACAGCTGCTTCCTTATCACAACCTGAAGTTTGGTTGACAGGTGCAGCAGAATCAGGTGGTAGAATCCAGACTCTACCATTCCAGGTTGCAACATCATTTTTAAACCCTCCTACAAAATGGGGTTTGTTTGTTTTCTAATCCCTACAGCTAAAACAGGGGTAGAGAACCACATTCTCTCATAGAGAACCCTTGGGGGCCACTTTCCCAAAGGTGGACAGAGACCAAGGCAAAAGTGGGTGGAGCCAGAGGCAAATGTGGGCAGAGTGCCAGAGGTGAATCTTCCCCTTGCACTCTAGGCCACATTCCACCCACACTAAGCTGTGGCCCTTCCCCACTGCGCACTGAGAATTTCCCACTGTTTCGTTGTTGCTTTTATTTCAGTTCTTTCAGCTCGTTTATAACTTGCCCAATTTAATTCAAGGATGTACGTGTGTGCATCAACTGAGCTCTGCAAAATTAAAATTGTAATAAAGGTGATTGTACATATGGCTGTAACAAGATTCTTCCTCTGTGGTGGTTTGACAAATGTGGAGTGCATCGGCACACCAGAAGTGCACAGAAAGTGACATGAGCATAATCATTCACTGTTCTTCTTCGGAGGGACTGCTCTGCAGTCTCCTGCCTTGAGGTAAGGTGTGTGTCCAGCTGGGAAACAACCTTCCCAGTAATTGCTCCAATGCTGTAGAAATCCATTTCCTGGGAATCCCATTTATCTCCATTACTTCCTGTTCTGCACTGCAGATGGTACCCAGCAGCTGGCAGGAGACATAATGTCCTCTCCTATTGGCCATTGGGAATTCAATTTTTTTTGCCTGCCTGAATTTGGCCAGTCATAGGCAGGCCTGGAGATGGGCTTCTGGGGAGCGGACCTGATTGGTCCAGAGTCAGAGTCTTCACTCAGGTCTGCTTAAATTCAACTAAAATTTGGCTCAAATTCAACCTGCCTCCTCTCCTCAGTGCCACAGTTGTCATGTGATCTCCCACCCACACCTTTCCTTCTTTGCTTGTATTGCACCCTCTCCTCAAAGGGCGGTCTTTTGCTACAACCTTGGTATTCTTCAGCCACCATATTTTGGAGCCAGGGAGGATTCCCGCCCCCCCTGCCCACAGACTTATTGCCTCGTTCTGCAGGTTTTGCCTCCCTCATCGCAATTGTCACAACTTTGGCAGGGTAGGCATTGGGTATGATCCTTAGCCGAGGAAGGAGCGGAGCTTGTATACCTCTGCCACCCCTCCAGGTTGTAGGGTATCCTGCTAAAAGAATCCTAGGAGAGGTACATCTGTCCAAATGCCCAGGCGAGGCTGAGGCCCATAGCATTTGCTAGCGAGCTGATCCAGTCAAGATTGCACCTACCTGATGTATGTCATAGGCTAACCTCATCCCAGGATTGACCCCAAGAAATCTTCTGGCAGGTGGGTTGGATGATATGAGAGATACCCAAGTTCCTCAGCCAAACAAACCTCCATCTGTAATTGTTAAAACTGTAGCCTGATTTGAACCAAAACAAGTGTCAGTGTGTCCTTTATTGCTGCAGGCACAGCATTTGATGCCCTTTGGGGCTCATGGCACCTGGGCACGCAATCTCATAGCACATTCAAGAGCTTCGACACACAAGCTGGGAATTACCAACATAAGACTTACTGTAGTTTAGCGTTGCTATTCAGATGCCCAGGAAAGGGCTTCATTTGCTTATAATTTTTGCTGTGATTCTTCAGCCTTCCCTGTACTTTGCATGTATATGATACTCATGTGCTCTTTTTGCTCCACAGTAAAAACATTGTGCCTAATGGCATTTGTGTTTATTCAGAAATGCATTTGGGAAATAGCAGGGAGCAATTCTGAATTTGCAAGTCCCAGATGCAAAACTTTTTTTGACAAAGTTGTCATTATTTATACAAACTTGGCAGGCAGGAACTTTGCATAATCATGGAACCTGCTGCTTGTGTTTCTCTCTCTCTCTTATATCGTGGGTTTTAGGGATCACTTTCCCTATATTTGGTCATTTGTCATGATTCATTTGCTTGAGTTAGGGCAAGCTACATATTACACGCAAATTCATATCATGAAGCTCAGCCTTTTAAAATGAATGAATAAATAAAAGGTAACCTCAGCAGCCTCATATTTGGAGTGAAGCCATTTTTCTACTCAGTGCCTCCCTTTCACCTCTCAAGCTGCTCTCACCATCACCGCCACCGGATCAGAAATATGCTCACTCCTGTAAACACATGCCTGGAACTCATGGCAAGGAAATAAAGCTGGAGAGATGGAATGGGCTGGCAGGGAAAGGGTTAAGCATCACTTGACTTTCCCCCAGCTCAAAATCTCAGCCTCCAAAAGGTTTTTCATTTAAAAAGAAATAATACCGTTTCTTTGTTACATACATTTTTGTAACATGGATCATTTGTCCCTTCATCACTCACAGCTGACTGTTGCTAAGTTGCTGAAATCTGTTTTCAACAATATTTTTTGAGACTGTTCCATTCTAACCAATGAGGATGCAGGGCTGAAAACGTTTTGGAGGTCATCCACCCCAGTCTCCTTTCCCTACAACTTTAAACTAAGTGGGTCCTGAGACTGGGTCCCTTCCACTAAGAGTGAGGTCTCACATACATGCTTCAGTCCGTGAGTGATGACTTGCTGTGTTTGAAAGCAGCAGTGTGGATGAACACCACCTACAGAACTCCCATATTGCATCTCATTCAGCCATTTCCGGTGGAGGCAATTCTGCCAGAAATTAATAAGTGATGAAACACTGGATTGTATCTGACTAACCCATACTCAGAGTAGACCCAATGAAATCAATGGACTTAATTTCATCATGACTAACAACCCATAAAGTACATGTATGTGCAGGTGAGTCCTAAGTTTGTGGTTGTAAGTGAATAGACTGGCAGCATCAATTTCATGGTGCTTTACAGAGTGCCATAAACTGAGATCTATCAGCGAGAGATTGAGAATGAATGGTCATCAATAAGCAGATGACACCCCACTCAATCTCTCTGTTCCATCTGAATTGAAGGAGGTGGCTAAGCTGTTAGACCATTTCTAAGATGTGGTGATGAGCTGGACTTGGGCCAATAAACTGAAATGGAATCCTAAAAGACAGAAGTGTAAGGGTTAGTTTTCTAGTCCAGGAGGTGGAGAGGCAGCCTGTTCTGGATTAGGATTGCACCTGAAGGAGCAGGTCAGTAGCTTGGGGATAGCCCTGGTGACTGGGAGTGCCTTTTTCCAGCTCTGGTTGGTTTGCCAGCTGTGGTCTCTTTTGAACAGAAATGACTTGGCAGCTGTACTCCATGCTCTGGTAACTTCCAGATTGGCTGGCATTCCACCTAGATGTCCTCTGTCTCCAAATTTAAAAATTACATGGCTGCCAGTTCATTTCTGGGCCCTTAGCACTACCCTAGTGCTAAGGGTAGTGTTTAAAGCCCTAAAGCATTTAGGCCCCAATATCTGAAAGACCATCTCCTTCCCTACAGTTTAATATCAGCAGAAGAGGTCCTCCTGGTAGTCCCACTGCCTTATAAACTTGGGGGGGGTGACTTGGGAAAGGGCATTCTTTGTGGCAACCCCTAAGTTGTGGAACTAGTTTTCCTCAAATGCTGAAGATGCACCTCTTTATCCTGACTTTTGAAACATGAGATGTCTCCCAAGGAGACCATCTAAACAGGAAATAATAGGGGAGACAATGTACTGTAGTACTGGAAGGTACTGTCATGGTACCCTCCAGATGTTGTTGGACTACAACTCCCATCTTCCCTCACCTTTCGCCATCATGGTTGGAGCTGATGGGGCTTGAAGTTCATCAATATCTGGAGGGTATTTTTCGGACTACTCTGACATTCCTAAACTAGAATAGAAGGAATTTCCTCTTTTCCACTGCAGTTCTGTGAGTAAGGTCAAGAGATCTCTTAATACATATGCTAAATAAAAATGTGCTCAAGATTTTGCATTAACGTCAGATTTATTTATTTTTTTTTAAGAAAGAAATCTGTACTAAAAATGAAATCCTTAAACCTGGATTGCCACATATGTCTAAAGACTTGGGGAGTCTATGGTGGAAAATGTTTAGATGTGATTATCTGAGATTTCTGGCTCATAATATGTGACAATTTAGGTTGAACAAAATGAGAAATCGTTGCCGTGCTTTTTGATTCTTCAGCTCCATAAAACTGCCCTTGCAATGGTTTCTCTGCCCAATCATTCTCTGTTTTGACTGCTTATGGCTGTCTTTTCAGCTACTGCAACATATAAATATATATATATCACTAATATTAAAGTGGGGTTTTTTTGGGGGGGGGGAATCGATCTGACAGTGCAGTGAAAGCCTTTCCATTTGATCCTTATCTACATCCACCCCCACAATCATATCAGAAGAAATCTAGGGAGTAGTAAAATAAAGACGCTTAGATTTCTGGTCCAGCAGGTTGCACTTTCCCCATACATTCGCCCTGTAAGATCAAACACTTTTATTTGATGCTTATCAGAGCTTGATATGCTCACAGTGGCTTCCATAAACTGAGTGCTTTTGTTTGGAGTAGCTAAATGTGTTGTAGCTACAAATCAGCATGCTTCTAGAGGCAACCCATACTCCTCTAGGGTTTGCTAAATACCCTGGTCCATAAACAAATGTCCCCAAACCATGGCTAGCGCAAGTTGCCCATTTGGCTAAAGCACATGCACTGCTTGAGGGACACACACAAAAGCCTTTGTTGACCAACATGTGCTGGTGAAACAGAATGCCTCTTTTCCAAGTAGAAGTGTTTTTTTTATTTTAAAAAAACAAGCAAACAAACCCACCACTTTTGCATATTTTTATGTGCTTTTTTTCCTCCATCACTTACTTTCTTTGTCTCGTTTTCCCACTTGGCTCCTTTTTAACAACTTTAAATGTGACCAATATGTGCATGTTCTTTGTCTGCAGGAGCTGGAGAATCAGGGAAGAGCACTATTGTGAAACAAATGAAGTAGGTGCATCAATATTCATGTCACATTGGGTAGCACAAAGTGCTACGTGAAGCACAATGCCAAAGGGCGTGAGGTGGGGGAGCGATCAAACAAATCAAACTTGACAATCTAATCCTAACAGATACTGTACATGGGGATGTAAAAAAGCAATCCTTTATACCTCATTCACTAACCTGATGTTTTACCCAATATATCAATATGTGCTTGGCCTCTTCTATCTGAAGCCAAGGATGCCAGTTTAAAGACAGAGGGACAGCTAAAATAGGTATCAGGGTGGAGGGGAAAGGCGCCACATACGCAAACACAAACACATAAGCACACACACCACACCCTTTCCTAAAAGCTTTGCAGTTATTTTCCTGCCATTGAAAGTCATATTCACTGCTCAATGTATTTATCAACAAAAACAAATATGCCTTTTTCTTACACTGGCAGGACTTTCCGATGTGTTCAATGGCATATTAGTTCACATCTGAACACTGTAATGCTTGTTCTCATTAAAGCACATGGAAATGTGCATATGAGTACATCCTTCCCTTGGATTATTTTTTAAAAGGAGTGGCACAGGGCCAGGAAGTGTGCAGGTATCAGCAGTGGCGGAGCTTCATGCTCTGGCACCGGGGGGCGGAGAACAGGCAGGGGCGGGGCTGGCATACGTCCTGGGGCCGTGGCACGCCACCTGTGGGGGCGTGGCACCCAGCGCAGGCGGGGGGCAGCCGCGATGGCACCCGACTGGGATCGCGCTGCCAGGGGAGGTGCGCTCCCTTGCACTCCTCTTTCTCCACCAGTGGGTATCAGGGCTGGGGCTGGATGATGTGGTTCTGCTCAGCACTTTTCTTCTAGGGAAAAAGGTGCCAGTACTGGGTACCCCTGAGAACCTCCAGAAAGCAAGCCCTGGTCCTGCTGACTTTAAGCATGGGCAGGGCTCGTGTTCCTCCCCAGTGACAGGTGTGCCAGATGTCATTGCTTAGAGCAGGGGTAGCCAATGCAGTGCCCTCCAGATGTTGATCGAATACAACTTGCATCTGCCACAGCCAGCATGACCAATGGTTGGAGATGGTGAGATTTGTAGGCCAACAACATCTGGAAGGCTATTCCTTAGATAATGGGACATTCAAATCTGATTATGCAGCCATGTCTATGACTGCCAGTCTCTCCCCAGTTCCAGTTCTCAGAATCCTGCCCTCTCACTCTCTTCTTATTTTAGATTATTGTGATATTTGTCTCCTTCTTTGCTTCCTAGGATCATCCATAAAGATGGCTATACAGATCAGGAATGCAGAGAGTATAGATCTGTGGTTTACAGCAATATGCTACAATCCATTCTGGCCATTGTCAAGGCAATGTCCACATTAGGAATTGAATATGGGAACTCAGAAAGCAAAGTGAGTATAATGTCTCTCTCAACTAGTATTATTTTGTCTCTGAACCAGTGTCACCCCAGGAAACCAGTTTTGAATTCTCACATCAGAACCTCAAGATGCTCTAACATGGGAAGATTGCAGCCTTGCTCTCCTCCTGCACAAACTTTTCATTTTTCTTTTCTTTTCATTTTTTGGTCTTTCACAGCAGTGCCATAATTCAGTTCACCTCTGGGAAGCGCAGCTGCCATTCTGTTGAATAAGGTCCGTTTCTGTTTATTGGCCCTCATCCAGCCATTCAAGCACATTCTCCCATTCACAAGCTTGCCTGAGACATTCTGCCCAGACAGTAACAGCCTCAGGGTCACCAAGTGACCATTGCTCTGAAAAAACCTTAATTCTCATATGTATATATTTCTGTATATGAGAGCAAAGGATGTCATAGCCCTTGTGCAGACCTTTATTCTTATGCAATATACAAGAGTTAGGGTTAGACATGGGCAGACATGACCCAACTCCTTCAAATAAAAATGTGAAGAAGTTGTGGCTTTGAACAGACCTCATATTATTGCAGCAGAGATAAGACATCAGTGAGAGATTTCCTTATCCTTTTGAACACTGTTTTGAACATACCGTATTTTTTGCTCTATAAGACTCACTCCCCCCCCCAAAAAAAGTAAGGGGAAATGTGTGTGCATCTTATGGAGCGAATGCAGGCTGTGCAGCTATCCAGAAGCCAGAACAGCAAGAGGGATTGCTGCTTTCACTGTGTAGCGATCCCTCTTGCTGTTCTGGCTTCTGAGATTCAGAATATATTTTTTTCTTGTTTTCCTCCTCCAAAAACTAGGTGCGTCTTGTGGTCTGGTGCGTCTTATAGAGCAAAAAATGCGGTAATTTCAATTATTCACATTCGGCTATGGCTGTCAGTTTAATCTGAAAGACCCATAAACCATTCACATAATGAGTCAGAGCTGTACAAAAAAAAACACACAAAAAAAACCAGTGCTAAGAAAGGATTGTTGCTTGCAGTCACAAGGTGACAGAGTACTTTTAGTGACCTCATAGATTTAGATGCAGAACTGTTAAGGGTGGCATTAAGCAAACCTGGTAATTGCCATGACCTTTCTTCAAAACAACTGAGGAACAGAGGTTCACAGCAGTCATGAATAAGGCTGGCAAGATGTTGTGTTGACTGCCAGCTTAGATGGCTTTAAAAGAGAATTAGACAAATCCATGGAGGTCTGGACTACCAGTGACTACAAGGCCTGACGACTATACTCAACCTTCACGGATGGTGGCAGCATCCTCTGAACACCAGCCGCCTGGAATCACAAGTGGGGGGAAGATGGCAGGCTTCCCATGGGCACCTGCTGTGAGAACAGGATGCTGAACTAAATGGACCTTTGGCACAAACCAGCTGGGCTGTTATGTTCTTATAAGTTTATGTATGCCAAGACAGGCACCAGGGTGGGCTATGGCCCAGAGCCATATATAGACCACTGTTTTTCTGTGACCCCTTATTTATCCTCCCTGCTGCTCTTCTGAACCTGAGAAGACCAACGGAAGCAAGAGATAGCGCTGTGTCCCGGAACAACAACAAAACCACAAGGATATCTTATTATCTCTAAAGATAACAAAAGCAAAAAATGAGCTTCTGCATTTGAAATTCCCTGATGAAGAACCTGATAAATGTGTTGGGTATTTAACTTTTCTCCCTGCCCTTTTGCTTCCTGCTTCCCTCTCCCCACCTCCCCATATTCATAACATGGTAGATCATTTTTCATTACTTAAAAAATAAAGTGTCAGCCCCAATGGTCAAGCCTGATTCACAGAAATCTCGTTTCAGGAAGATGAAAGGCAGCTTTTGGCAATTGCAGATTCCATGGAAGATGGCACCATGTCTTCTGAACTAGCTGGGATCATCAAACGTTTGTGGAAGGATTCAGGGATTCAGGCCTGCTTTGAAAGAGCATCAGAGTACCAACTCAATGACTCAGCTGCCTAGTAAGGGGCCAGTTTACAACTGAATTCTGTAATCCTAAACCGTGTGTGTGTGTGTGTGTGTGTGTGTGTGTGTGTGTGTGTGTTTAATGCCTGTTGCTTTTCACAATAATATGCTTAGAAGTTACGTAATTGATTCCGCCTTCAGGGTGCTGGCTCTGTATTTATGGTATTAAGCAATTGTTATGATGCTATTAAACTAGCATAAGCACAACAGAATTACACAAATAATTATCCTCTTCTCCAGTAGAGCCTTGTAAACCACTCTCCAAACATCCCAGTTTTCAGTTATCAACTGCACTCTTCTTTCCTTCAACAACTCCTCCTCTGTCTTCATCTTCCTCACATTGTATGTGCCTGTGGCAGGCAGCTAAAGATGACACCTAGCGCAGGAATCACAAATCAAATTGTACCTATAACCTCTCTCCCTCCCTCCTTCTCTCTCTCTCTCTGTGTGTGTGTGTGTGTTTGTGTGTGTGTGTGTGTGTGTGTGTTACTGAATACATGTATCTCTGTATCTTTGAGACCATTTCCATTATGGTTAATGCTACTATTTTGCAGGTCAATTTTTTTATTGCTTATGGCCAAAGGCCTTTACAGTTGCAAATATTCATACAGTCCGAAAGGCATACAGCACGAGCCAATGCTGAAATACCAATGTTGTGAGTTGAATGAAAATTGCATGAGAAGACTTCTGCTCACACGGTGGGGCTTCACTTTGCTCCTCCCCCTTGCAGCCCCCTGCACGTCTCCCAAAATCTTCTCCAGAGAATCCCCCAACCCTCCACACTTGGGAGTGCACAGGGGACGGCAGAGGGAAGGGAGGAAGGTAGAGTCTTGTTGCCTGGAGAGAAGTCTATTCTCCTTGGGAATGACCAGGTTTGATACAAGCCAGTGAATACTGAACACAGTAAATAAACTGCAGAATCGAATTAAATAATAATAATAAGGAGGAGGAGGAGGAGGCAATGTGAGAAGGGATATGAAAAACAAAGAATAAAAAGCAGTAAAAAAATATATATTTTTGACATGACTTTGCAACTGATTGTTAAACCTTTCTGAGAATTGTAGCTCTGAGGGGAAGAGAAGTCTCCTAACAACTCTCAGCACCATTAACAAACCACATTGCCCAGGATGCTTTGGGGGAAGCTATCACCATTTAAAGTGGCATGGCACTGTTTTAAATGGAGAGTGCAGATGGGGCCAGTAACTCAGAAACAGATCGGATTTTTTTTTAATGCACAGATGCAAGGTGGATCCTGGGACTATTACACACCCCTGGCATGAATGTGTATTTTCTATACGTGACTTTCCCCAAAACTTTTGTCATGTAGAACCATCCAGTTGCATGCAGATTTGGTTTCTTCTTTCTGCTTGTGCCCTATTTATGGCTGGCTTGTATTGGCCTACCCTTATCCCCCAGGCCATGGCGTTGGACTTCCAGACGCTGCCCCAACCTCACCTCCTCATGCACAAGAGTGTCCCTGTTTCCACCTTGCAGGAAGATGGAGCCTGCAATGCTTTGTCTCTCTCTCTCTCTCTCTTTCTGATTCTGTAGCTATCTCAATGATCTGGAGAGGATAACAGCTCCTGGCTATGTCCCAAACGAGCAAGATGTCCTTCGCTCACGAGTAAAGACAACAGGAATTATTGAGACACAGTTTTCATTCAAAGATTTGCACTTTAGGTATGACAGCTGTTCTGCCGTGTTTCTTCCTAAGTATGATAGATATGCATGTGGTTTGAGATTAGAGGCCAAAGCAGTCTACCTGATTCAGGCTGCTGGATTTCTGACATTTTAAACAGCTTAAAGGGCAGTTGGAGGCTTTGGTATGGCTATGGTCACAGCCAGCAATCTGAGCCTCCCACATCCAATGTTCTACCAGGAAATCTTGCAGTTTCCCCAGCTGTATTCATTTTGTAAATGCTCTCTCTCTATTCCACCTATGGAAACTTTACAGCTGTACACAGTCAGCTTCCATGATGTTGGCAGGGGGGGGAAATAGTAATTGAATTAAAATTGTGGGTTGCGGCACATGGGCTACTGAATTCGGAAAGTCTCTGAATCTCCGGCTGTTCTCTTCTCAGCTGCTTTACATATTATGGTTGAGCTGCGCAGATTACTTTACATCGGGCCAGTCATGTGGATCAGTTCAAGATGCAGATTTTCCTCCAAACTGCTGGAGGATTTAGCTGGTAGGATTTGATGTAACATGGTGGAAACTGCCCAATTCATGAACTAAGATGCTGCACATAAACAGCTCACATGCAGAGCAGTCTCAGTTAGCTTATTTGTGGTAGGGAACAATTTAAAAGCCCGTGCTCAGGAGAAACTCAAACCATTATTGGAACTGCAGGCTTCCTGCTGCCTGCCGTACCCTTGCACCTAGCTCATTTCGTCCCAGTCTTACCTCTGTACTTGTCCATAACTTGCAACTGTTTATGTACACCTGTACAGCCTGGTGTCATGTGCAAATCCATTCCCTCCCATCCCCTCTGATTTTTGCCTGGTAAGCTCCATGGAGCAAACTGTTTTGCCTGCTGTATCCATCATGCTGTGTGAGAGGCATGTTGGATTTCATGCAGAACATATCATTTCCAATTCTAATATTTGAAAAGTGGTTCTTGTTGGAGGTGGAAGCAAATAAATATTTGTGAAATGCTTTGCATGCTATTTACAAATCTAGGCAAGCAAATAGCAAAGAAACAACAAACTGCCATGGAGGCATGGATTGGTTTGACAAAAGCTCCACATTTGAGTTTCCATAGCACTTCACATAGATGATTTGTGATCAGGAATCCCATATTCGAGATAGAAGGATTTCTTGGCTCACTGTGTACAGTGGTACCTCGGGTTAAGAACTTGATTCGTTCTGGAGGTCCATTCTTAACCTGAAACTGTTCTTAACCTGAAGCACCACTTTAGCTAATGGGGCCTCCCGCTGCTGCCATGCCGCCGGAGCACGATTTCTGTTCTCATCCTGAAGCAAAGTTCTTAACCCGAGGTACTATTTCTGGGTTAGCGGAGTCTGTAACCTGAAGCGTGTAACCTGAAGCATCTGTAACCTGAGGTACCACTGTATACAATACTTCTCATGCAGACACCACACAGCAAATCTCTGAGACTTGTAGTGATGAAAGAATCCTGACACACACACACCCCCCACATGCCCAACATAACTAGTGTCAGAGATGCAGTGAATGGACGTACATGTTTATCTTTGTTTCATTCATTTCCTAGGATGTTTGATGTGGGAGGGCAAAGATCTGAGAGGAAAAAGTGGATTCATTGCTTTGAAGGAGTTACTTGCATAATATTCTGTGCAGCTTTAAGTGCTTATGACATGGTCCTGGTGGAAGATGAAGAAGTGGTGAGTCAGAACAGCAAATGTGGGGGGCAGGGGGGACAAGGGAGTTGCAATTTGTGGAAAGCATTTATGGTTCCTTAAGAACATTATTCACATTCTCTGCTCTGATAACCACAACCCACTGAATTCCTATTTCGTTGATTAAAAAAGAACATTGGACTTTGCATGTCACCAGGTAATGGGGCCTAATAGCCACATTTCCCCGCCTTTTACAGAACCGAATGCACGAGAGTCTTCACCTGTTCAACAGCATCTGTAACCACAAGTACTTTGCAACCACTTCTATTGTGCTCTTCCTAAATAAGAAGGATCTCTTCCAAGAAAAAATATTGAAAGTTCATCTCAGTGTCTGCTTTCCAGAATATGATGGTAAGTTTAGAACCTGTGGCCCTCCAGATGTTGTTGAACTCTCATCGGTTCCAGCCAGCAGGGGCAATAATTAGGGATGATGGGAGTTGCAGTCCAGCAACATCAGGAGGGCCACAGGTGAGCCAGTGCTGGCTTACACATCCCACTTCTTTGGTTTCTGAAGATTGCTCATGAGGAACATAGTCCCCGGATTGAAATGATTTCCCACCACTGAATTAAGATACATGTTATTGAGACTGCTTTCTTAAGCCCTTGGTAAAGGTAAAGGGACCCCTGACCATTAGGTCCAGTCGTGACCGACTCTGGGGTTGCGGTGCTCATCTCGCTTTACTGGCCGAGGGAGCCGGCAGACAGCTTCCGGGTCATGTGGCCAGCATGACTAAGCCGCTTCTGGCGAACCAGAGCAGCGGATGGAAACGCTGTTACCTTCCCGCCAGAGTGGTACCTATTTATCTACTTGCACTTTGACGTGCTTTCGAACTGCTAGGTTGGCAGGAGCAGGGACCGAGCAACGGGAGCTCACCCCGTCGCGGGGAATCGAACCGCCAACCTACTGATCGGCAAGTCCTAGGCTCTGTGGTTTAACCCACAGCACCAAAAGACTAGGCTGTGTCCAGCTTGGTGAGTCCAGCTGTGTGGGCCATCTCTGGACACAGTTGTGCGTTTTCATGATTCCCATAAGAATAACGATTAAAAGAATGCAAAGGGATAGTTTTGGGAAAGGGAAATAATTTTTTAATCTTACTCATGGTTCATTTCTATATGAATGAAAAAGGGATTCCTTGCATGCAGTAAATGAGAATTGTAGAGACAGTTACATGTTCACTGAAGATTTCATGCACGCCATACTTTTTGTTTGGGGAGGAGGGCAGAGGTCAGTGGAGGCTGAACTCGACAGATTGTGTGCCAAGGGAAGGGAAAGGGCTATTTCTAACAAATTAATTAGTATGGCATTTTACTGACAGTTCCTTCTGTCTTCCTCTGACTAGGATCAAACACATTTGAAGATGCAGGAAATTACATCAAGAACCAATTCTTAGATCTGAATTTAAGAAAAGAGGACAAGGAGATCTACTCCCACATGACCTGTGCCACTGATACGCAGAATGTTAAGTTTGTGTTTGATGCTGTGACAGATATAATCATCAAAGAGAACCTGAAGGACTGTGGGCTCTTTTAGCTCTTCACCCTGTGCCACCTTCATCCTGCTGTTTCTCTCTTTCATTTGTAGGATGTTTCTGGTTAAGGATGCCATCTTGCATATACATTCCTGAAAGTAAGCTTTCATTGCAACCTCTAGGGCTTACTTTTGAGTAGGGATGGATGGATCAGTCTGCTACTAATTTGTGTCAGTTACCCGTGTGTGTTCATAAGTCTCTTTTATCCCATTTCTCAAAAAAAGTGATTTTTAAAAATATTGAAAGTTCATAAATATGTATTTGAACATGTATATTATCACAAGATACATATTTAAATACATCATCTATCTCAAATGCACACCTTTCTAATCACATATAATCCTAAAATGTGCTCTTTGAGCATTTTTCAGCTGACCTAGCAAAACTCAGAGAACTGAGAAATCTGAAGGATATTTACATTCTGATCCATGGATTAATCTGGAAGGTAGGTTGATTTGCTTAAATATGTGAGTTAGAATTTTTTTCTTCCAACCCTAAAAGGTAACGGTAAAGGTACCCCTGACCATTAGGTCCAGTTGCAGACGACTCTAGGGTTGCGCGCTCATCTTGCTCTATAGGCCAAGGGAGCTGGCGTTTGTCCGCAGACAGCTTCCGGGTCATGTGGCCAGCATGACTAAGCCGCTTCTGGCGAACCAGAGCAGCACACGGAAATGCTGTTTACCTTCCCGCCAGAGAAGGTATTTTCTCTACTTGCACTTTGATGTGCCTTCGAACTGCTAGGTTGGCAGGAGCAGGGACTGAGCAATGGGAACTCACCCCGTCGCGGGGATTCGAACCTCCGACCTTCTGATCAGCAAGCCCTAGGCTCTGTGGTTTAGACCACAGTGCCACCTGCATCCCACCCGCCTCCATCCCTACTTCGAAGTAAAAATGCATTGGTCTGAGCTGCAAAAGCAAAAAGACAGCAGTAGACACAATATTGCAAATACTAGTCCTTTTAGACTTGCTAAAACGTTTGTGTCAAATGACAATTTAACACAGCCAAATTGGGTAGAGTAACTTCATTGCAGGCACAATGTTCTCCCTCCCTTCTAATTTAATCTTCCACAATTCTTTCGTTCTTACTGAGAATTTTTGTTTGCCTGTACCCTACTGCAATCTGAAATTCTAAACGTTTCCATTGGCAAATTTGCTTACAATGCCAGAAATCTCTTTCTAAAATGTTGACACGGAGTTGTGATTGGCATTGCTTCATGGGTGTCGATTAACTGGTGCTACAAGCTTCATGATAAGTTGTGGGGAAGCAAAATATATAAAGAACACAATTCTGCCAAAGTTAAGCACTGTTAAGTTCAGTTGATCACAGTGGAAGACAATGAAGCCCATGCTTAACTTTCCTGGTGAAATCCATTGGATCATGTCCTAATTTTTTTCCTTGCAGATGCTGAAATAAAAATGCCCTTGCTATCACATCAGTGGGATTAATAGAAAAATGATAAATAAAAGAAATTCTTCCTGTTTATGATATCATCCTCTGGATAAGAGGCAGCTGTCTTCTGCCCCCCGACCCCCCCCCCGACCCCCTTGTCTATCTGTTGGGTTAAATTTCATAGCATGGTCTCTCTTAATAGAAAACCAAAGCAGTTTTTGCCAATAAAATGTATGCAAATGTTGCTATATCACCAAAAGCTTGTTTGGTTAAGTAGGTTTTAATTTGCCTACAGAAACTCTGTAATGCCAGAGCCCGTCAGAGGGGATCATAGAACAGGGAGCATGATAGATAAAGTTGTGCTTCCTGCTTTTGCTAAACTTACAAAAACTCATTGGCTGAATCTGAAACAAGCAGGGGGTCCCTCTATGGAGAAGTCAGCACTAAGCTGTGCAAGTATTAGGCTGGTTTAAGGCTTCAAAAAGTTAAATTGAGTGCAGAAGCTCATAGGAAGTCAACATGACTTGAAAATAGATCTGATTGATTCACAGCTGTTGATTCACATCAAGAGACAGATTGCTTCATTCTTCACTTATTGCAGTTTCTGACCACTCTTGAAGGACAGCCTGACATAACATAAACAGTGGTACCTCGGTTTAAGAACAGCCCTATTTACGAACTATTCAGTTTACAAACTCCGCAAAACAGGAAGCAGTGTCCCGGTTTGTGAACTTTACCTCGGTCTAAGAACGGAAGCTGAATGGTGGAAGGGCACTGGCAGCAGGAGGCCTCATTAGGGAAAGCGCACCTTGGTTTAAGAACGCTTTTGGTTTAAGGACGGACTCCCGGAATAGATTAAGTTCATAAACCAAGGTACCACTGTATCACAGTAGTCTATTACTGAGGTTACAGATGCATGGACAACAGTGGCCAGATCCTTGTCTTGTAGTAAAGATTGAAGATGTAAGATGATGTATAATTGGCAAAAGACGCTTGGAGCTACTGCTGCCACACAGCCTTCCATATACCGCACCAAAACCCAGATCCCCTGATGCTCCATAGGAAGAAAAGACCTCATAGATCAAAATTATGTCTCCTAAGTCTAAGGATCCTAGAATTACCATAATTCTTGACTATATTGAACTCAAGGCTGTTTTTTCCCTATCCAGTCTATTAGTAACCACACCAGAGATTGGGAAATCCATGGCCCACAACCTATTGTTGGGGTACAACTCCCATTATCCCAGACCATGGGTAGGCAAACTAAGGACTGGAGGGGTGGATCTGGCCCAATTGCCTTCTAAATCTGGCCCGCAGACGGTCCGGGAATCAGCGTGTTTTTACATGAGTAGAATGTCCTTTTATTTAAAATGCATCTCTGGGTTATTTGTGGGGCATAGGAATTTGTTCAATTTCCCCCAAAAAATATAGTCTGCCCCCCCCCACAAGGTTTGAGGGACAGTGGACCAGATCCCTGCTGAAAAGGTTTGCTGAGCCCTGTCCCAAACCATTAGCCATGGTGGCTGAAGCCAACATAAATTGTAGCCCAGCAACATCAAGGAGGCCATAAGTTCCCTGCCCCTGCCATATACAAGTTTAGGATGGTGTTATGGAGACCAAAAAGAATAGAACTGGTTGTCATCAGCATGGAAATGACAGCTCACTCCAAAACTTCAGCATATCTCTTGCAGCAGCTTCATATAGATAGAAGCAGCAATGGATATAGATGACAACCTGTAGAACACAATGTTGCACAGCAACATATTGCAAAGCAACTGCATGTATGGTCCTTTGGCTCTCAAGGAGGACCAGACCACCTGCAGAGCAGCCATCAGCATTAACGGAAAAATCCCCGAGAGAGTTCTAAAAACCAATCAGATCTCTCCATCTCTGGTCATTTACCCCATGGATGCATTGAGGGGACTCTAATGTCTGTGACAGAGGTGATAGCATAACACTCTTCACGTCCTCCAGGCTGGTAGAAAAGAGTTCATATTGTCAGTTTGCCCTGGAGAGTCTCTGTGGGATGAACTTCTGCTCTTCTTCCACATGCAGAAGCCACCTCCAGCCAGGGGAGGGGGGAGGAAAGACATGCCCCTTCCAAGAAGGAATCAATCCCATCAGCACCCAGGTCATGACACTTACGTGGGAATTTCAATTGGACAGAACAAGTCCCTCTACCAGATTCAGCCGATGAGCAGTTGGGATTGGGACAAGCTATAGGTGGTCAACCTGAAAGCCTTTATGAAATCAGTAGTCCCATTTACAAGCTTTCATTAGTGCTCAAAGGGCTTTGAAGATGGGCATAGCTTGGGGAAAAGGAGATCTGTCTTCACAACCAGGGGGCAATGCCAGGGCATGTCTCTCTCTCCCCTTACGTTCTTCTGCAGTTTGTAACACAACGACGGGAGAGTTATTCAGCCGACTGGACAGAGAGCTCTCCCACTCATCTGGTACAGCACAGTGTGAGTTGCCCGGTTGCCAAGCAATTGGGTGACCCCTTGTCTCTTTCAGTGCTGTGCTGCCTGTCTCCACTTCTTCTTTGGTGGCTGAAGAGTTTGTGAACATTCCTGGAAGAAGCAAGTTTAAAGGCAGTGCAGGTGCTTTGGGGGGCATTTCTGTGCCCCCCCCCCGGTGCCCGTTTCACTCCTGTAGAAACTTAAGCTCAGCCATAGTGTTACCTGACCAGCTGTGGACAACACAAACAGTGCCGGATTTACGTATAAGCTAAACAAGCTATAGCTTAGGGCCCTACTCTCTTGGGGGCCCCCCAAAAAATTAAAGGGAAAAAAACTGGATTTACTTTGATAAAATACATATTTTGTTATGTGCAATTGGGTTACCTATTAGGTCCACAAATTACCATATAGCATATATTCAACACAAAAAACAGCGACAATTTGTTGTTGACAAAGGACAGCTGGACATATAAAAGGCCCCATTGCCTTCAGTAGCTTAGGGCCGCATCAAACCGAAATCCGGCCCTGGACACAAACAAGGGCCATGTGGCTAGTTAGCCTTTCATTCCTTGCTGAGGTGGTGATGCAGAGGCAGAAACCCTGCCATTCTTTCAGTCTCTAGTCCAAGACCCAGCACAAGCTCTGGTCCTGACACATGCACAACAGTGGTGAATTGATAGTGAAAGGGCATGGTATATGCTAACCCAAGTGATCTCTGCCACATCCGCAATATGCACACCTATGAGCTTTTGAAATCCAGCACTTTCACTGATTTATTATCTGCTTTGCTGAATGCTGTTGTTCAATGAATTATTTCTAAAGTAAATACTGTCAATAGGAAGTTTCCTTAAAAAGCCTCCCAGTATAAATATTTGAATACCACCGTAGCATAGCTCAACAGCGTGTAAAAGGAACTGCAAAACCCAACATTTCGACTTCCTACCGCAATGCTCTTAATGCAAAAGAATGATAGTCGGGTTCCATCTACATTTTCATCATTGTGCAGCAAACTGCACTCAAGTAAATCTTTATTAAAATAGCTATTTTAAAAAGGAAAGAAAGAAAAAGAAAGAAAGAAAGAAATAATAATAATAATAATAAATTTTATTTATATCCCGCCCTCCCCAGCCGAAGCCGGGCTCAGGGCGGCTAACAACAATAAAACAGTACAAAAGTACAGAAAGTACAGAAAGAAAGAAAGAAAGAAAGAAAGAAAGAAAGAAAGAAAGAAAGAAAGATAGAAAGAAATGAACAGCAGCCTTATTCAAATCGTTACCACATTTTGTCAAAGATAAGCAGATGCCCAGAATAAGTATCTGCCTAGTTATGGAAAACACATTATAATCCTGTTTGCCAGGAGTGCAAAGCATGACAGGACTGCCGTAGTCACTTGACCTCTGGCTGGTTACTTCACTGGTGCTTACTAGGAGAGAGATGGGCAAGGTGGCTGTGAGGTTGGTGCGCTGCGAATGCATGCCACGAGCAGTGGATTGGCTCCAGCAATGCATGGTACTGTGCTGACCAAGCCATCAGCTCACCCTCACCCCTACTTCTCAGTAAGCAGCAGGAGCAACAGGACCAACTGGAGGTCAAGTGAGCATCACTGCAGGACCACACCGTCAGCTACTGCTCTGTGAAATTTTAGACAGCTGACCAGTGGGTCTCACCCGGTTTGGAGATTCCTTTGCTTGTTGTCTTTAGTAGTGTTCATAATCATGCCAGTTTTTTCCACCGAAGCTCCAGAGGGAGGCATAGGTGAGGGCAGATCCTCCCCATTGACCCACCAGAAGCTATGAGGATGTTCAGACAATGTCCTTAAACTATTAAAAGCAGGAAGGAGAGAGCCATGGGGCTGCTGGTGCCCCCCATTAAACACCCCTCCTAAGCCATATGCATATTTGTCAACTGTGAGAAAGGACCCTCTGCACGTACCAAGCTATGTTTGTAGAACTTCTCCATGTGAGGAATCAGTCCATGTGTGCACAGGAACTCTTCACTCAGTCCTTATATGAGCAGCTGGCAGGGCCTTGGCTAGTAAGCCTGCTGGCACAGGGGGTGGGGCTAATCCGTGCCATCCTGCTAATTCCTCATGTGTTGGGTTGTCCCATGGGAGACAGACTCCGAAGGTGAAGATGTCTTCCCACCTTCTAGGTGAGGCTAACTGAGAAGAAGAGCTCATCATACTCTGTTAAATAAAACTAGAAATAGTGTATTTGCTGTACTATTTAAATTTAATTTGAAATGGCATCAGAAGGCTGCAGAAAAGTTGGGTTTCAGAGAAAAGGAAAACCTCATATAAGCTCTTTATTAGTACAGAACACTGATATTGTGAAATGCATTTTCTGGATAATGAGTTCAAAACCTTCGATTAGAGAACAGTCAACAATGGCGAGATATAATCACTGGTGGAGGAAGGCAAGTGCGGTGCGCACTGTGTGTCAACCATGAGGGCAGGTGACATTGCCGCGCCACCCCACCCCACGCTCATTGCACGGGCAGTGCCCGCAGATGCTCGCTGCACGGGCGGCAGACCGTTAGGGACATTGCTGCCGTGGGCAGCTAGTGGTGCCCCCCACGCTCTCTGTGAGGGACAGCAGGCAGCTAAGGATGCTCACCGCAAAGACGTCGAACGGAGCCCCCCCATGCTTGCCATGGGGACAGCTAGCCCCGCCCCCGCGCCATTCTGGGCAGGTAGCTCCGCCCCTGGATGTGATTAACTAGGCAGGAAGAGTTGAGTTTAATACTTTAATTAGTTATCCATACTTTGACCTATTCACACACTAATGTACATCAATTAACTTTTCTGCACTTGATTACAAAAATAATAATGACAAGCAGCTGAATGTGTTAGGGTACTCCTTTGGAAAGCATTACATTTTAGGATAATGAAGTGTCTGTAGTGTAATATCGGTGATATCTCATTCATATACACATATATTATCTGTTGTCACTGTGGTCTTTGAGCCAGCCCTTATGCAGGAACATAAAGGTAAAGGTAAAGGGATCCCTGACAGTTAAGTCCAGTCGCAAACGACTCTGGGGTTGCGGAACTCATCTCGCTTTACAGGCAGAGGGAGCAAGCGTTCGTCTGCAGACACTTTTTCTGGCCAGCATGACTAAGCCGCTTCTGGTGCAACAGAGCACGAAAAGCAGAGCAGCGCACAGAAACACTGTTTACCTTCCCGCCGGAGCGGTGCCTATTAATCTACTTGCACTTTTTGGTGTGCTTTCGAACTGCTAGCTTGGCAGGAGCTGGGACCGAGCAACAGGAGCTCACCCCATTGTGGGGATTCAAACCACCAACCTTCCTATCAGCAAACCAAAGGCTCAGTGGTTTAGACCACAGCGCCACCCACGTCCCTTTTTATGCAGGAACATACACAATTGCAAATTGCAAAGGAAATGTGGAAACCTGAATTAAAATTTGGAAAAATGAGAAATGTAGAGATCCAAAATCAACAGGTTCATACATCCCTACACAGAACCAATATATGAGTCTAGTATTTGTCCAGGAGGTCTGGGCCAAGAGCAGGCCACAATTTGGTGAATTGGTACATGCTAGGGAAACTCCAGGAGGGGTACCAAGCACACAGAAACCTCTAAGAGCACATCATTTCAAGTTGTTACTTGCAGGAAAACACATCCAAAACATGTCCTGCATATCATAGATGGGGGAAGAACAGGAGCCTGTACAAATGGCAAAAGACAGAAAGCGAAATTATAAGACAAGATTCTTTATCAGTATGGATGAAGTTACATGGTTCAGCCACAGGAGGGCGAGCTGGCATCATCCATGTTGCACACTCTCCCTTAGATTTCTCAATTGTTTTGGTAACACCAGCAGTTATTCTAGGAACCATGCAGTGAAAAAGATCACAAAAAAATAAGCCAATCAACAGTTGGCTGAAAGCTCCCCCGCCCCCTTTTGTCATTCTAGAAAAACAGATCATGGGCCTCCGAAACAGACCTCCGGAACGAATTAAGTACTTAACCCGAGGTACCACTGTATAAGGAAGCTGTATAAGCCCTGTATAAGGAAGCTTTTTAATGTGTAGAAATCAAACTTCAGACACAATAAAAACAAGAAAAGAAAAGAAAAGAAAAGAAAAGAAAAGAAAAGAAAAGAAAAGAAAAGAAAAGAAAAGAAAAAGAAAATTGTCTCCTTCCACAATCACATTTAAAAGGACATACACTGTTATGAACATTTTCGCCTGGAGCCTAAAAATATATAACGAAGGTGTCAGGCAAACTTCCCTGGGGAGAGCATCCCACAAATGGGGAGCCACTACAGAAAAGGCCCTTTCTCCTGTTGCCCCCCTCCAGACCTCTTGTGGAGGAGGCACATGAAGAATGGCCTCAGATGATGATCGCAGGGTGTGGGTCGGTTCATATGGGGAGAGGCGATCCTTGAGGTATTGCAGTCTTCAGCCTTCTAAGGCTTCATAGGTCCAAACCAGCACTTTGAATTGGGCCCGGAAACTAACTGGTAGCCAGTGCAGTCGGACCAGGATCGGTGTAATGTGACCATGCTGTCTTGCTCCAGTGAGCAACCTGGCTGCTGAATTCTGCATCGGCTGAAGTTTCCGAACCGTCTTCAGAGGCAACCCTACGTATAACACTTTGTTTGAAATAAGCTCTACTATGCTGAATGGGTATTATTCCATCCATGTACATGCAGGACTGTTGCATGGAAGTCAATGAGACTTCACTGTATCCTTAAATGCTTAGGTCCGATTGTTTTCTTTGGCATACAGGTTCTTTTCTATCCTACTGCAACTGTCCCCAAAGTACTGCTCCTTAAACTCTTGCTCCAACCTGTTGTCCCAAAGAGTCCACGCTAGTCCACCCAGGAGGCAATGTGAAGATCCACAAGGACAGCAGGTCCCAATGTCCCCCCCCCCGTTTTTGTTGGTGGGGAGGGGGAGGCATTTTGCAGTTTCCTCAGGTGCCAACGTGAATGGGTCCGGCCCTGAAAAGCATGACTTTGTTCTGTTTTGTTGTAAAGCTCCCAGAGAAAGCATCCCCACCTCTTCTCAACTGGGGTCTGCCGAATGCATTGGTAGGCAAACTAAGGCCCGGGGGCCAGATCCGACCCAATTGCCCTCTAAATCCGCCCTGCGGGCAGTCTGGGAATCAGCGTGTTTTTACATGAGTAGAATGTGTCCTTTTATTTAAAATGCACCTCTGGGTTATTTGTGGGGCATAGGAATTCATTCACCTTTTTTTCAAAATATAGTCCGCCCCCCCCCCCCAAGGTCTGAGGGACAGTGGACTGGCCCCCTGCTGAAAAGGTTTGCTGACCCCTAATGCAAATTGTCCGTCCCTCCCGGTGCTGCCCTTTAGGCAGGGACTCTTGCTTGCTTGCCTGTGTAAGCTGAATCCTGGATTTCATCTATCCATGGCTAGATCTCCTCCCAGTGTGTATGTTCATGAGATGTGGACTTGACAGGTCCCAAAATGTCACAACAATGGGGAAACTTTTCAGATCCCATTACATTCATACATCATTTCCTCAGGTTCTGAATTCCCCCTCCCCGACAAGACTTCAGTGTTGACATCGGTCACCATGGAGACGAGAACCTTAATACTCCTCTTTAGTATCAAGCAGAGCACTCAGGCAATCAGATTCTTTCTCATGGTGGGGTAAGCAGGGGGGTACCTCCTGCATCAGATACAAGATCAGGTTTTTGTGGAGAGTCATTGTGAACTCAGCTGGGGAGATGAAATAATAACCTTCTTTTTTACCAGCGTCAGAACAGCAGGCCTGTTTTGTAAGTTCAAGTGAAAGACTGTGCCAATTCTTCCAGCTTTCTCCTGAGCTGCTCTGACAACCTGAAGGGCAGATCTACACCTTTCATTTAACACACACACACACACACACACACACACACACACAGTGCTGGATTTACGTATAAGCTAAACAAGCTATAGCTTAGGGCTCCACTCTCTTGCCCCCCCCCCAATAATTAAAGAAAAAAAACACCTGGATGTACATTTCCAAAATATAAGATAAAAAATAAATAAAATAAATACAGCATACAGCAACAGTGTTTTGTGTTGTGTAGGCTCCTATGATGTAAGAAATGGGCCCCGCCTGTCAGCCTGCTCCCTGTGGGTTAAACCACAGAGCCTAGGACTTGCCGATCAGAAGGTTGGCGGTTCGAATCCCCATGACGGGGTGAGCTCCTGTTGCTCGGTCCCAGTTCCTGCCAACCTAGCAGTTTGAAAGCACGTCAAAGTGCAAGTAGATAAATAAGTACCGCTCCAGCGGGAAGGTAAACGGCGTTTCCGTGTGCTGCTCTGATTTGCCAGAAGCAGTTTAGTCATGCTGGCCACATGACCCGGAAGCTGTACGCCGGCTCCCTCGGCCAATAAAGCGAGATGAGCGCCGAAACCCCAGAGTCGGCCACAACTGGACCTAACGGTCAGGGGTCCCTTTACCTTTACCTGTGATGGCCTGGGAATCCGATTCAGAGGCTGAACCGGAGGAATCCCAGCCTGCACAGGAGTACCCACCTCCAGGGCCGGCTGAGCTGGAGCAGGGCCTTGATTCTGAAGCGCCTGCACCTGTGCCGGATCCTCAGGAGCAGGCACCAGGTGAATCCACTCTGGCTCCGGAGGCGATTGAGGACGCATTGCCTACAGGTGCGCCTCTCCCAGCCCTGTCAGGGGAAAGTGAGTCTCCCCCTGGTGCCAGTAACCCACCGGCCTCTCCTGAGCTGCAGAGGCTCAGAGCAGAGAGGCGGAGGGAACTGGTTTCTCCCAGGAGGAGTGCTCGCCTTAAGGCCAGGAGAGGCGGGTCTCCTGGGGGCCGGGACCGCCCCTGGCCTCAGAGAAGATAAAGGCCAGTCAGCCCGGTCCCAGGTTGCGGGAGCAACGTCGTTGAAGAGCTGTTTCAGCCAGCACCCAGTCCGGTTCCCCCAGAGTTCCTGTCCTTGCCCGGCTCCTCGCTGTGGACCCCGCTTTGCCCGTGGAGGACTGTCTGCCGACCCTCGACTCAGGTCCTGGACCTCGCCCCACGGTAACCTCCCCCCTGGACCAGCACATTACCTATATTTGGGTGCCTACATTCTGCATGGACTGATTGCATGCCAACATGTGCAAATGGCTTTAGAAACCTATTAGGTCCATAAATTACCATATAGCATATATCCAACACAAAAAACAGCGACAATTTGTTATTGACAAAGGACAGCTGGACATATAAAGAGCCCCATTACCTTCAGTAGCTTAGGGCCTCATCAACCCTAAATCTGGCCCTGACCCCATCCCCCAAGAATCCTGAGAAAAACTTCTCCCTCACAGAGCTACAATCCCCAGCACCCTTCACAAACTACAGTTCCCACGATTCTTTGGAGAGAGCCATGAATTTTAAATGGGCATTTGATGCGCTTTAAATTTATGCTACAGATCTCCCCATTGACTCACGGTTTAGAAGCCCTGAGGGCTAGCAAGTTATGATGGATGGAGAGTCGGGTTTGGACCAGAGAAACTCACTAAATCCTAAAGATTGTTGAGTGTCCTTCAGCCTCTCACAATCTCTCAGCCCAACATCCCCATCTGTCCCCACCCCACCCCAGGCAGTTTTCAGCATAAAATGTGAAAACCTGTTCAAGAGATCCTGAGCTGCTGTGAACAAAATGTTGGGTACAAATCTGATAAAGTAAGAGTGTTACCTGCGTGGCAGAGAAGCCACTTCTCCTGGAACAATCGCATTGTCTAAGCATATTGGATTGTTTCGTTTCTCCGATAGCCTGCTCTCGCTCAGAGCAGCATATAGCAGACTTTTTTAAATATGAATAGTTTTCTTGCCCAGGGCTTCACAAGGAAATCAAATGGTTTGATAAAAGAGACCAAATGAACTTAAATGACACTATGAACATTAGATTGTTGACTATATATAAAATATATAAAATATTATAACCAAACAGTACCAAAAACCCACCAAAGGACAGCCCTTTTTCCAAGCAACTACCTCTTTATTGAAAAGGTGCTGCAGCAGAGCAGTATGGGCTGGCAGGGGAGCACAGCTCAGTTTCATGTGAGGTGCTTATTTTATTCATTAAATTTCTATACCACCCTTCATGCAAGATCACAGGGTGGTTGGTGGTGTTTCTGAAGCTCTGCTTAGGAAGTAGATTGAAGTGGGGAACTTATTGGCCTTCCAGGTGTTGCTGAACTACAATTCCCATCATCTCTGACCATTGACCATGCTGGCTGGGACTGATGGGAGTTGAAATCCTACAATACTTGGAGGGCCACAGGCTTCCTATCCCTGAAGAAGATGGATCCCCATCCCCAGACCCTGGAATGGTTTTTTCTCTTCTGCAGCAACAGTGTTGACATCAGAAAAGGTGGCGCAGATTTAATCAAGCAGAATGGGGAGCAGAAGCAAAGCGGTTTGTTTCCATGCTAGTGCCTTCAGCTCCAAGAGAGATAATGGTGAAGCAGCAATATTAGGCATACCATCATTGCACCATTGAACCAGCTATAGTGTGATAAAAGAAGATCAGCAATGTCCCTGCCAGGCCATCAAAAAAATCAATGCATATGCGTGCACCTTTGATTCAAAAGTTAATTCTGCTATGATTATGGTAGCTATAATTGTGTCCTATATGCAACATTTAGGGAGAGTGCTGCTGTTGCACTCAAGCCCTGCTTGTGGGCCTCCCATAGGCACCTGGTTGGCCACTGAGAGAACAGGATGCTTCACTAAATGGGCCGTTGGCCTGATACCTGGGAGCTCCCAGAGAGGAGCTGACAGGTACTTTGCTCCTCTGTGGTCTTTCCTGCTGCTGCAGCGGCTGCATTAAGCCAAGCCAAAGTTTGCCTTAGCACGTCGACTGTCTTAGTCCACAGACTTAGCAGCGAACACCCACCTGCTAGGTGTTCGGAAACATCAAATGACCCTTGATACAGAAAAGCATTTTCAAAGGCTAGCTTCAGTGCTTTGCCATCAGTAGTTACATAAGGTTTTTCCCAGACCAAGTTGGCACCTGAGAGTTTGCCCTTGAAAAAGTGGCTCGCTTTCAACTTTAGCCAGTGTTCTCCTATACTGTGATTTTTATAGGGATATAATACTGTATCCCATTTTATATCTCATTGACTTTCACTATACTTAGGGAACTCATATGAAGTTTATGTCTCCATTTTAATGAGAGAGTCCAACCATTACAGATCACAGGAAATATAGCAACATTCCTCACAGTAGCCATCAAAACCAGGTCACAATTCTTAAAGGGAAGATTTTTGAGTCATTTTAAATATATATTATTTATGGATTTTGCTGTGCTCTCATTTTAAAAGACACCAATTGTGTGTGCGCATATTCTCCCCCTCCTCCTCCAATAGCTGCCTTGAAAACACTACACTGTATTAGATGTTTATGGTCTGCAGACCATAAACTGAAATGAATTTATTGGCCTTTGCATTCAAGGACAGCATTGCATAAGCTACTGCAAATCTAGCTTCTGTGTTTTTATTTTTTCTCTTTGAACAATGCTGCTGATTGAATTCAGAGTTACTCCCCAGTCTCAACAATGTGATGCACCCGTCTGAGTTCCATGCAGTCACAGCAGTGACTAAGAATGGCTGAATCTGTCAATCAATTTGGGTTTCTCTCCATCAGGGCAGGTCCACCCACAAGGCAAGGTGGGGCACTGCCTCAGGTGGCAGGATCCACAGGGACAGCAGATTTGGCTTCCATGGAATGCATCACCTTCTGCTGCCGTTGCCATGGTGACAGTGACAGCTGTGGCACCCTCCCCCCGTGTTGCTTCTACAACAGCCTCTTGGTGACTAGAAGGCGCCGCTGGTCTCCTCCCAGCCTGGTTCCCAGTAGATCTTTATTCCCTCCATGTTGCTAATATAGATCTCACCCCTTCTTCCTTGGCAGTGGGAGGTGGGGGCACCTCAGGTGCCAAAATGTCTTGGGCAGGCCCTGCTGGCCATTTCTCATTTCCCCCCATCTTACGTTCAGTTACTGTGGTACCTTGGTTCTCAAACTTAATCTGTACTGGAAGTCTGTTCCAAAACCATAGAAAGTAAAGCAAAATGGATTAATCCGTTCCAGACTTTTAAAAACAACGCCAAGACGGCAATTTAACATGAATTTTACTGTCTAACGAGACCACTGATCCATAAAATGAAAGCAATAATCAATGTACTGTACTATAAAATAAATAAGACAGTGTTGTAGGTGATAAAAATTAAAATTAACTTTCTTTCTTACCTATACTGATGATAGTCATTGTTTGGATGGGAGGCTTTTATCCATTTCCACAGTCACACAATCAATCAATCAATCAATCAATCAGTAGCTGAACTGAGTTCCCCACAGTCACAAAAACAAATTAATCGAAAAAGCCTCAAAAACACAAAATACATAGCAAAAACAAAAGTGCCAAACTGAATCAGTTCTGGAAGTCCATTTGAGTTCCGAAATGTTCAAAACCAAGGCACAGCTTCTGATTGGTGCAGGCGCCCCGGAAACAATAGCTGACAGCCGCACCGGATGTTCGACCTCCGAAAAACATTCGAAAACCAGAACACTTACTTCCAGGCTTTCGTAGTTTGAGAACCAAAGCATTTGAGAACCAAGGTACCACTGTATTCACATTTCCACTTCAGTCTGTCAGTTTTTAAAGTCCTTGTTCATCAGCATTTTATGTGCATTTCATCTAATAGACACATTTTTGTATACAATTTTGCCTACTATACACATTTTTGCAAAGCAGTTCCCTCTCATTCGGTGCATTCTTGTATGTTATTTTCACTAATGTATGCATTTACATGCTCATGTAACCCAAGTGTATGCATTTTCGTACACATTACGTTGCTGGAGAAATGTATTTCAAAATTCAGAGAAGTTGTCATGTTGCTGGACTCACATGTGCACAGTCAGCACTCATGTCTGGTCATATGCTGAGAGGTTTAGGATCTTTTGCTGGAGTTATAATTTGCACTTGTTAGAGATGTGTGTTAACCCTTGAATGGGGGATACATAAACTGAGGCCAGGGAGGGACCTCTCTGTTGCTGCAACTGGGTGTACACCTAGGAGTAGCTGAGAGATGAAGGGCTGATGGACATGCCTTTTCCTAACTTGTAAGTGTACTTTTGACAACAAAGAGTTTATTCCTCACGCTGGACATTTCTTGCCTGACATTGCCGTGAGAGTAGTGCAGATTTTGAAGGATAGTTGTGTTTGGCTCATGTATTAGGTAAGTTTGCCTTTAAATGTGAACTGAATTTCTCTCTGATCTCTAGTGACTGCTTTGGCTGTTGCCTAGTAAATGCGTTTAAGAAAAGGCACCTGGGTGTGTTCTCTGAAGTTTATCTGAGTATTGCAAGAACATCACCACTTCCCTTAATTGTCAACAGGCAAAAGCCAAGACTGGGGGTGGGGGGACTTGTAACCAAATGTGTTTGCTGGTGATCAGTACTTTGAATGAGTATATTGGTCCATTAAAAGGTAAAGGTACCCCTGCCCGTGCGGGCCAGTCTTGACAGACTCTAGGGTTGTGCGCTCATCTCACTCTAGAGGTCGGGAGCCAGCGCTGTCCGAAGACACTTCCGGGTCACGTGGCCAGCGTGACAAAGCTGCTCCGGCGAACCGGCACCATAGCAGCACACGGAAACGCGGTTTACCTTCCCGCTATAAAGCAGTACCTATTTATCTACTTGCACTTAAGGGTGCTTTCGAACTGCTAGGTGGGCAGGAGCTGGGACCGAACAGCAGGAGCTCACCCCGCCGCGGGGATTCGAACCGCCGACCATGCGATCGGCAAGTCCTAGGCACTGAGGTTTTACCCACAGCGCCACCTGCGTCCCGAATCGAATTGGTCCATTGTAACCCACCAAATCAGAAAAGTACTCCCTGGGCCAAGATCCTGATAGAAAAGAAAAAAGAGCACAGAGGGGCAAAGTACTGTTGTGCCCCAAAACTAATCAGAGCTAAATCACCCACCACAGGAAGTCCTTCTGTGAAGAGTTTCCTGTTCCACTTCCTCTATGAGTTGTCAGCATTTCTGGGTGGGCCAATATGTAGACACACTTGTAAACTCCATCACCTGTGAGCAATATATTCTGGGAGCCTCTCTCTCTTTCGCTCACCACACACGCAAACAAGCAAATGCAGCTGGTATCCTACAGGCATAGGTTTGCTTTCCCTGCTGAGTCACTAAGGAAAAACACAAACCATCTGCAATAGATCTTTTGTCCCCAGCTCATTCGTTAAGTATAACGTATCATTTGCTGTAGCCACAAAAATTATAGTATGTGCAGCTGGAAGCTGCTAGCCCAGAAACATGCACGATATGCAGCTCTGGACGCAAAATATTTTGAAGATTCGTCTTAAATATAGCTAAGGGGTTTCTCTCGTCTCCCTTACCCTATAATAAAGAGCCCAGCTTTATGTTCTCAAATTGCAGAGTGGGCTTTCAGAGGAACAGAGCTGTTGATTTACTTTATAACATTCTATTTAGGTCTCTTGTCTTGCATAGCTCGGAAGCATGCTGCCCAATCCTATGCATGCTTCAGAAGAAGTATATTGCATTGACTCCAATGGACCTTACAAACAAGTAAATGCATGCCCTAAAATGGGCCAATTTACTGGTGAGCAGAGTAATCCTAGATAAGGGCTGCGGAGGACGGGAGCAGCAGAGATGCCACCACCACATACACATTCTGGCTTGGGCAGAAGGCTCAACATTTGAATTGCCTGAGGGGCCCCCCCCACACACACACCATGGGTGTCAGCAGAAATGATTAGGGGGTGGGGAAACAAAGTCTATGACTGGTAATGACAGGCTGTTTACTATGTGCAGTCTTTTTGCGACTGAACCTCACACACCATTACATTGTGCCAAAGAGAAGCGACAAGGAACAGTGGTGGGCTGCGCCTGTTGGTGATTTACTGTATTGTATTGTACAGGGCTGTACAATGGAACGTGGGTGGCGCTGTGGACTTACCAATCAGAAGGTCGGCGGTTCAAATCCCCGTGACGGAGTGAGTTCCCGTTGCTCGGTCCCTGCTCCTGCCAACCTAGCAGTTTGAAAGCACAAAGTGCAAGTAGATAAATAGGTACCGCTCCGGTGGGAAGGTAAATGGCATTTCCGTGTGCTGCTCTGGTTCTCCAGAAGCGGCTTAGTCATGCTGGCCACATGACCAGCTGTACGCTGGCTCCCTCGGCCAATAAAGCAAGATGAGCGTCGCAACCCTAGAGTCGTCCGCAACTGGAGCTAATGGTCAGGGGTCCATTCACCCTTTACCTTTACAGGGCTGTACATTTCAGATCTAACTTCTCACAAATTGCTTTATTCATCAATTTAAAAATAATGGAGTGATGTACAGGGTTGGGATGGAGGACAGCCTCAATCTGTCCATTGAACAACAATATAGTAGGTCTCCAAACAACATTTAAAACTCCTAAGGCTGAATTTCACACCTGGGTGTTATTAAAAGAAATGAATACATTCAGGATTCCAGGAGTTGCAAGCACCCTCCTTGACCCTGTGTGGGCACCCAGGCCACCCATGGAAGGTGGTCCACTTCTGGGTCTAGCACTCCTTCAGGATCCAGTTCCTCACCCCTGCTAGAAGTTCTCCCCAGAAAGTGGGAATAGATGTAATATTTCCTATGAAATTGTGATATTTCTCTTCTAAATGTTCCTCCCAGAGCCTTAAGCACTAGGTGCAATTTAGATTTCCTTTTACTGTTGCATAGTTCTCTCTGTTCCTCCCAGCTGACTGAGATAAGGGAAATAAATGCAAGGTGCAGCTGGTTCAGAGCGAATGAGGAACTCTAACTGGCTGACCTTAGAGCGGGTAAATGACAGTTGGACTTTCAACGGCAGGGTGAGGGACAGAGATCTGGAGGAGTTTGAGGGAGATCATGTCTCCTGATTGTGTAGAGAGCCTATGCCTTTTCAGCTGTGCATGCATAGTCTTCCATTTCAGGTGTTGTGCTAAACTAGAGATAGGCAGCAATGGTACCCTCAAAGATGTTATTGGACTACCAGTCTCAGCCAACGTGGCTGGTGGTCAAGGATGATGGGAACTGTAGTCCAACAAATATGTGGAGGCCACCAACGGGCTACCTCTGTGCTAAACACTTGGATCGCAGAGGTGGGACTGACCTGGTGGATCCTGTCAGGGATGACCCACAGGGACAATCCTACTCACTTTCCACAGGTGTGCTGTGACCATGCAAAAGTGCGTCCCCTCGTGCTCCTGATAATCCTTCTCCAACACTTCTTGGCCCCTTTACCTGGCCCATCACAATCAGGAAGATCTGGTTTGCATGTCCTCCTGGAAGACTTGGTGCATTAGCAAGCAATTGGCCCTGATATGGCCTCCCCAATTCATCGCCTTGGTTTGCAGTTGGCAGCTGCTTTTGTATTGCTATGGGGATGGGTACTGAAGTGTAATGTTCCCTGGCCTTTGTGAGGGAACATGTCTATTTGTGTAGATGGCAGCTTTCTTCTTCCTCCTTGTTTGACTTCACCCCCAGAGGCCCACTCCAGTGTTTCTCAAGACAGGTGGATACCAACAGCCGTTAAAGCTTATACTACTTTAACAGTCATGGCTTCCCACAAAGGATCATGGGAACTGTAGTTTGTTATGAGATCTGTCTCCCTGCTGCTTCAAGCCTGCACAGGGAAAATGTGTTTGCTAATTTCTGAGTTGTGACTGCTTGTACAGTGGTACCTTGGGTTAAGAACTTAATTTGTTCTGGAGGTCCATTCTTAACCTGAAACTGTTCTTAACCTGAGGTACCACTTGAGTTAATGGGGCCTCCTGCTGCCGCCGCATGATTTCTGTTCTCATCCTGAAGCAAAGTTCTTAATCCGAGGTACTATTTCTGGGTTAGCAGAATCTGTAACCTGAAGTGTCTGTAACCTGAAGCGCCTGTAATCCGAGGTACCACTTATTGAGATCACTCTCCCCACTAATTCTCTTTTTAACCCTAGCATGCATCTTTTGCTTTCTTTTCTCTGCTATTTCTGACAAGAGGCTTGATCGCTGTGCCGGGGCAAAGAAGACCTTTCAGAGTGCTTTGTTTATTGCTTTGAGGTAATCTTTGTGACTCACCCAGAGTTCATCTCTCCAGTTGATTTTATATCTTGAAGATTCCTCTGTTTGCACTGCAGAAGGTAGTACATTTTTCTGTCATTATCTAGGAGGTAGAGCCTGGAACTATGTTAGAATGCCTGGCAAAACCATGAATCATGGACAAGCAGTTTGGTTTAAGTCAAGATTCTTCCTTCTTGTTTGCTACGACAGGGGTCCGCTTCTTACTGAGTATTAGAAATGGGTCTCTCCACTGGTTAATCTAGATTTATCTTTAGAGTTGCCAGCTGACCAGAAAAAGCCAGCCTGGCCTGCTCTTGACTCTTTAGTAGGCTCTTCATCTGAAGAAACCAGGAGCCAAACTTTCTCATGGTATAGAGATGAGCAACATTGCAGCAATTGTGAGTGTAGCTATAGCTGAAGGGGATGTAAAAAAATAATAAATAAATAAAAAAGTTGGCACCCCGACTGATGTTTTCCAATCCCACATGAAAGTTAGGATGATTGGCAGATTTTGAATACAACTGGCTCCATTTCTGTCAGAAGATCAAGAACGAAGGAACTTGAGGGTGTGGCGCCACGCCGTTCTAGTAGCTTTGCAGCCTTGTGCCTTGCAGGGCTAGCATGATGGGCCTGGAAGCTGCTCTCTTGCTCAGATTTTCATCCAAGATGAAGAAGACCTTTAATGCACTCACCCACGGGCTCTCTCACAAGCCCATCCCTTGCCTTCACTGCTGCTCTAATAGGAGTTTCCCTCCTTCTCTCTCTAACCCAAAGCCAACTCCACACACCTGCAAAACACACACACACACACACACACACCTCTGCATGTTCAGTAGAAGATCTGTATGCAAGTCATCGCCCCATCATTCTGCTGAAAGCAAACCATGAGAAACAGCTGCATTTCCCTGGAAACAGAGCTCACATGATCATTAGATCCTTACACAGCAAGATTTATTAACATATGCCATCAGCAATGAAATAATACTTTAAATATATCAGTTGTACATTTTCGTCATCACAATTCCCCCCCCCCCATTAGCACTTAAAATATGCCCTTGGTGCTATTTTGGAAATGCCTTTGTGTTCAGGCCATAGCATTTCCAAAGGCTATATTTGGCCTGTGTCCGTCATGGCTGAATTTCATTTAAATCTCTCTCTCTCTCTCTCTCTCTCCCCCCCCCCCCGCATCCCATTTAATTAAGGCATCTTATGATTCAGCTTTCTTTCTTTTTTTAAATTCCATGATAGATTTTATAAGTACATGCCAGAAGGTCTTCAGACAGAATACACTAATTATAAATGGTTCAACCTAATTACAGAGGATTGCCAGTGTTCTTGCTATGAACAAACAGGGTGTATTAAAAGTGCCTGTAAGAGGCACATGTTTGGTTACACTTCTTAGCCTTAATGAGAACCAATTAGGGCCTTAAAAAAGCATTGCTGAAAAATATTTTCATAGCATACAAAGAATGTTTTTGAGACTTGAGTGTCTCAAGTATATTTTGTCCTCTACAGATCCTTGAGAGGTTGCTTTACAGACTCCCACAAGAGGCGGTGGAATCTCCTTCCTTGGAGGTTTCTAAGCCGAGGTTGGATGGCCATTTGTCATGGATGCTTTAGCTGAGATTCCTGCATTGCAGGGAGCTGGGACTAGAAGACCTTCAAAGTCCATTCCAACTCTAAGGTTCTATGATTCTTTCATCCAGTAAATTCCCCTGAGTATTGCAGGTGATGGCTCTTTTTATCGTAGAACGAAGAGAAGGGTTAGAGTCCTGCACTCGAAAAATGCTGTTGCAGTAAATTTTGAGTGTTTTGAGTGGAAGGACTATTATTATTATTATTATTATTATTATCAATTAATTAATCACCTGCTACACAATCATTTCAAGGTGATGTGCAATAAAACAGCCGTAAAAAAAGCAGTTAAAACACAAACAGGCAGCTGATGCCGTTAAGATAAAACTGAGACAGTACAAAATAGATACTCATGACCAAGAGCTGCAAAATCTGGTCAGAACAAAAATGTATTCAACTGTTTCTGGAAAGTGAAGATAGTGGATGCCTGCCATATCTCTGTTCGCAGAACTATATCCCTATTCACAGAACATATCAGTGTAAGGCAACATGGTAAGGCTGAGATGGGGCAGAACTTAAGTACTGCTTGCATTTTAATCAGAAATTATCTCATTTGCACTTCGTGAACCAGTGCAGCTATCTTTCTACAAGCTTTGGGAGCCAATGTCTGCAGAAGTGCACCTATGGGGGGGAAGTGTGTGTAGATATACACATCTTTATTTTTTTAAAAACAAGCAAATATGCATCTCATTATGGGAAAGTGCTTGGGGAAATGTGTATATTGCCCAAAACTGTATAAAAATATGCATATTATAAGGAATTTGCACTACACACTGATGAATTATGAGGATTGGTTTAAGGTTGATGTTTAGATTTTAGTTTAACTCTTAGATACTGAATATCAGTTACCCAAAACTCCTAGAAACCAACTACAATGTTGTCTTCGTTTTACATGTAAGATTGCAGTTTAATCCATCTTGTTTATCGGAACTTTTCATTATCAGCATGTTTTAGATGTCCTCCTGGCTGCCTACATCAATGAAGTTTGACCGTGAAAGAAATTAGAAACTGCAAGTCTAGACAGAGACCTAAACACACAGGAGATTAATGCCCGAGCTGTGTGCTAACAGGGAACAGCTAATGTGCAGTGAGAAATGATTTCATCAATGAATGGCTCCTGGGAGACCACTGGACTCCCCCGGAAAATAAGCCGCCTGATGCAGCTCTCTGTGATTTACTGCCCAAGCTTTGCCTCCACCCAATCAGCCTGTGATAGGGATAATGTAAATCATTCCATCTCTGCA